CTTTTGAATATATCCTAGGGATTAATATACAGGCGTTACATCTTTGTCATCAGTTCGTGCTGTGAAGTTTAATTTTAATGAATTGAATGAACGTAAACCTCATACAAAGTATATGATTCTTTTTCCGAAGAATGTAAGCAGAGGATGAAGACTGATCATGATGGGCTCTATATTTGTTCTGTCTAGTTGGGCTCTATGTTTGTTTGTCTAGTTGGGCTCTATATTTTTTTGTCTATTGTAAAGCTCTATATTTGTTTCTGTCTATTTGGGCTCTGTCTAGTTGAGCTCTTTATTTGTTTCTGTCTAGTTGGCTATATTTTTTCTGGCTAGTAGTGGGCCGTATTCGGCCGGGCGTATTTCGGGCGGGCTGCCAGGGCCGCTTTAGAAATCCGGGACCGGCAGATATTAGAAATGGCCGGTAGCACTGGATGCGCAATCCGGCCTGGTCAGAACCATGCGGAGCGTCTCGCTTCACGGTTGGAGAAAGGGGTTTTTGGAACACCGGCAATGTCTGCTGTAGACTGAGAAATATCCCGGCTGTTGCAGAGCCTGGTCTCAGGTCGCGGCCCCGGCGAGCCGCACGGTACTGTAGAGCAGAGCGAGCATGGACCTGCCACTACTAGCTCTGGGCATGAGACGAGACGATCAGTCTCTGCCTCCAGCCTCCATTAATATCTCTGCAACCAACCTCCATTAAAATTCCTGCCATCCAACTTTTTTAAAATCTCTGCCATTGAACTCCATCAATATCCTGCCGTCAAACTCCATGAGTATCTCTGCCAATCAAGATGCCTGCCTCCAAATATGCCTGCCTCCAGAGTCCATAAAAATCCTGCCATTGAACTCCATAGTTATCACTGCCCCCAAACCCCTGCCTTCAGCAAACGCCCGGCCCGGCCTCAGCACGCGTTGGGCACGTGCATCATGCCTGGCTTGTCCTCCACTACAAATGGCGTGGATAGCCCCGGGTTAAACTCCTCTTTCTTCATCACGTTCATGGGCGGAAAGAGCCCGGGCACAATCGGGTTCTGTGTGCGTGGCGACTTGGCATCCAAAGGCTTCATCAGCACGGAGAAAGACACCGAGAGCGTGGCTATATCCGGACCAATGCCTTGATGGAATTAAGCTGGCGCCAAGTGAGAACAAAGCCTGCTTTTTTCCAGCGTCAGCAAAAAGAAACGCGTGCGTACCGGGCAGCAAGAAAAAGACGGCTGCGTGAGATGGACCCTTCCGCTCGGAGTCATGGACATCTTTACGCTTTTCTCACAGGCCGTCGTAATTATCATTTACGAGGCCATTGCCGTAAAGAATGCCCAGCGCCGCCACGGCCATGCGTGCGGCGCGCAGCTTTGAGTCACGGCAATCAAACGGTGCGGCACAGCCATCGGGTGTCGCCGGCTCCTGAGTCCCCCATACGCTTATGGACAAAAACGAGTGCATCCCCGCCCTGTCCGAACACAGGCAAAACAGCCTCAAGTATTTGTGGATGTTTGCTTTGCGGACAAGGCCCGGCTTTGTTGGCCCCAGTCTGCCTGGATATCACAAGGCAATTTGCACGTCTCGGGCAGCGCATGCAGGGCGCGGCGTTGTGTGCACGCCGATTGCGCCTTTCCAGGCAGCCTGTCCCCCACATCCCGCGATGGGCGCTGGGCTCGACGCTGCAACGGCAATTTGAAATCGCTGGGGCCGCGTGGCGCCAGGCCCGGGGCTGGCCTGAGACCACCGATATGGGGGCCGCCAGACTCCACAAACGGGCCCACGGCTTTTTCGGGCACACTGCGTGCGCCTTGCCCTGCGTTCTTTTTGGCCCGATATATATATATATGTGTTTTATTTTTATTTTTTTTTGGATTTGAAGGGCTTATCGTTGGCGCCTCCGTCTTTCCCATCTTGTTTTCTGCTTGCCGATAGGGCCCTGCGCGCTATCAGTGCGGCGTTCGGAGGCAGCGTCTGGCATCGCGAGCCCGCATGAGGCCCTAATATTGCAACCGCATTGCAAGGGCCAATGCAGAAGCCGGCGCTTTTCCAAGGCGGTTGTGTGTTGTTCTGGCAGCCGGAGCCAGAGCTCGTACAGGAAGCGATAAAGAGAAAAAAAAATTAGAAAAAAAAAGGAAAGAAGTGGGAAAGGGTGGAGGTATTAGTGCGGCGGGCCGCGGCTGAACCAGTGCAGAAGTCTGGTACGGGCCGGCAGAACCCTCCCTGGAATACGCCAGCGTTGCCGGCCCGGGCCCGGTCCCTCAAAACAGCTTGCGCCCGGCCAAAACAGTCTCCAGCGCAGACCCGAGCCTTATGGAAGGGCACCCGTGCCGGCCGCGGTCAACGCCATGAGTTTGCTTTCTAGGGCGAAGTTCTGCTCTCGTAGCTTGGCGTTTTCCTCCCGCAACTGGCCCACAGTTTTCTGCAACTGTGCCGCCTGGGCCGCCGTGGCCTCGAGGCCCTTGACGTACTTTTCCCTGCGCTCTCGGAACGCCTTCTGGGCGCTCCGGTTCTGCGCGGCCCGTTTGGTTTCCGCCACGCGTCTTTGCCTTCCTGGCTGGTGGGGCTCAGGGGACACCGCCATGAGGATTTGAGACTGCGGCTCCCCGCCCAGTTGCGTCGGGATGCTGCTGGGCGGCGCCGTGCTAGGCCCATGTATATAAGGGTGGGAGGTGCCGTTCGCCGGCACGCTGCTTTCACCCTGTCCGCTCTTTCTGGGGTGACTCTCGTATGGGGACAGTCGCGTGACGGTCCGTGAGAGTTCTGGAGATGCTTCGTGGCTCTGCTCGCGCAGAGACTCTACTGGTTCGTTTCTATAGGCCATCAGAGACTGGGCCGCGGGGCCTGTGGACTGCGTGATGTTGCCCGGGGCGACCGAATGGCCGTACTCGGCAGAACTATTGAAAAGCGGCATGCCCTCGGCTGCCTCACCCCACGGGTACCCGTGAGAGATTGTACTGTTGTCTTTCTGCATCTCCCTGCACCGCTAGTCCGGGTGCATATATCACAGGCAGACTGGCAGACGGGGGGAAGGCTTAATTCAGACACGCGGTTTCCAGAGCACACCAAGAGAAAATGGGCTCTGGTGGGAACGGTCGGCTCGTGTTCCGATGACGAGGTTTGGGCAGGCCTGGCGCTGGGTGCAGGAGCGCCGGCGCAGCGAAGGCCACCGGCCCCGGGCGGCAGCGTGCCCGGCTCCACGTGACCATCCGGCTCCACGTGACCATCAGGCTCCACGTGATCATCCGGCCCCACGTGACCATCCCGGTGGTATTTGCTTGTTCTGCGTGGCCGCCGCACCGGGCCGGTTCATTTGGCCCGGCTCGGCCATCTTGGCTCCGCGGATTCTCATGGATTTGGTGCGTGCTGTGGAGGATGCGGCTGGTTTGCGCGGGCCGGTCACCCAAGTCCGACACGGCACCAGAGAAAAGACGCCATTTATTTTTTTTTGTTATTTTTTTGTTATTTTTTTGTTTTGTTTTGTTCTTTTCGGTTATCTTGGTAGATTCGTCCGAGGCACAAAACTACACAAATGTTGTTGGCGCCAGGCTTGTTTCCCGGATGCTGGCTGGTCTGCGTTCAGTGGCGCATCGCTCCATTCTCTGGCATTGGCTCGGGAATGTCTGCTGACTTCTCGCAGGCTTATTTTCCTTGGACCAGCGACAAAAAACAGCGCTTCGGCCAATAATTCAGTTCTGTAAGCACGTTCGGTTGGCGGGGCACAAGAGACTTCCCGCTTCGAGCAGAGTCGGGCTCCGGCTGGGGCTGATATACTGGCACGCCGGCCTTTCTCATTGCAATTTATGCGCGGGCACCGACATATCAATTAACGCTCTCTGGTCCACGCCGGAAACTGGCGTTGGACACTTGGTCGAAAAGAAGCAGAAAGCGTTTCTGAGCAGGCTGTCGGATCTTTGAAAATTAGATACTAAAGCCGCCTCTTCAGCAGGCCCGGCAAAATATATCCCAGCCCACCGGCCTCTGCAAGCACCATATTCATATACGCGAAGGTCATGCGTGGGGCCACTTGCGGGACCACGGCCCCATTTATGCCCAAACACAGAAACTCCCCAAGGCTGCATTGCGTGTTCTGCATACCTTCAAACATACGGCCAAATCGCCTCCTTGAGCGTGTCCCGACTTTTTCGGGCCCTCTTCCGTGGGTGCAAATTTGGAGCCGCTCCACCAGTCTGCATGCGCGCAGCCACCCAGAACAGGCCCATATATTTGCGCGTTTTCTATTGGCTGCGGGGGGCCAAAGCACAGTGAGCCCACGGGTTTTCCTGGCCCCGGCACCGAACTAAAATAAAGAAAATAGCCCTGTAGTTTCTTGTCCCGTCCGCAGGGCCAAAGGTCCTGTGACCCTTGCCGCTGGCTGCACACCCGCCGGCGTGACCCGGCGTCCCGGGCCGCCAGGCATCTACGGTCCCCGCACGACCCTCGTATGATTTTCACAGATCGTTACCCTCACATTCATAGCCCTCTCCATCCATAGCAAATCCCACAACAACCATGATTTCCTCAGCCTTGCGCATGGCCCTCAGAGCCAGACCCGTTCCTATGACTAGATTCACTGCCGCCTCTGGTGTTTCAATGGGCAGAATGGCCGTTCCCCAAATCAGAACCTACGCCAACAACCACGAGCACCACGAGGAGACTTTCGAGGAGTTCACTGCCAGGTATGTACCCATTCTGCAGCCAGGTCCATGAGAGCCTGCTTGCTTTTTTGAAGCCCCTGCCTTCCGTGGCTGGGCCACATGTTCTTTTTGTGGGGACTATTAAGGCTGGGACCAAGGCACATTGCCCCAGGTTTGGAAAGTAGAGAGTGGTGTTCTTCAGCCGTTTTGCGTTGGTCTACCATTGCCGAGTATGGGCTCAGTGGGCCTTGCTCCATACCGCCCAAACCACCCGGAATTTTTCAAACCACCCAGAAAGTCCGAACTGCCCAGAAAGTCCGAACCGCCCTGAAATTTTCAACCTGCCCTGAATTTCCCAACCCGCCAAATCCACACCGTTGCATCTGGCGGGTTTCCCGACATGTGAATGCCACGTGGGCTGTGCCGGACCCGGATGCAGCGCCGGGCCACACCGAGTCTAAAAAATGTACTAACCTTACAGATACGAGCAGGAGTTCGAGGGAGCCTACGACTTGTTCGAGGTGCAAAGAATCTTGAACAACTGTTTCTCCTACGACTTGGTCCCTTCGCCATCCGTGATCCAAAAGGCCTTGGAGGCGTGCAGAAGAGTGAACGACTACCCAACTGCCGTCAGAACTTTCGAGGCCTTGAAGCACAAGGTCGAGAACAAGGAGCAGTACCAGGCCTACTTGGACGAGTTGAAGGAGACCAGAGAGGCCTTGGGCATCGACTTGAAAGAAGACTTGTACCTCGAGTAGGCGGTCTTCTGCGGTATGTAGTCAAACATGAAATCTAAGCAAAAGTACTTACGATAAACCATAAAGGGAGCCGAAACGACACGTAGTATTTGGGGGAAGTGGTTCGGGGCGTAGTTTTTTGGAGGCGACCAACTGGGACAGTTTTGGAGGCGACCAGCTGGGATAGTTTTGGAGGCAACCAGCTGGAACGGTTTTTGAAGAGATCAGCTGGGATGGTTTATGAGGAGACATCCCGAAGTGCGTCGTGTTGGCGTGGTCTCCAAACGGCTTGTGCATTGCCGTGAAATAAGTGCTACACTGATCTGATGGGTTGATTGCAGGGCCACGCTCCGACCTTTATGAACATTGGTTTCGGGGTAGGGTGATGATTCTACATGGTCGCGGAACAATCCAGCGATGAAGCCAGTTCTGTTTTCAGGGCCTTTGCAAGCAACCGAGTATACATCAGACCACAAATACAGACATTGGACATGCGTATTATGCTTGCATTCATGGTGCTGTCTGCGCGGTCGTATGAATGTCTAGCTCCAGCTCTGCAGAAAATTGAGCCATGTATACGACATCCAAACAGCGACAGACCAAGTTGGGGCCACCAGGATCTCATCGACCGAAGCTGGCCGAATGAACTCTCGGAATCCTCGGGCTCGGGAAGCCCAGGGCTGGATTTCATTTACTGAAAAGCTGGCCCAGAAGCCGGTTTAGAAGAACCACTAAAACAGGCCATGCCACTGCCCGCCACCCGCATGGCAGCGATCTCTGCAGAAGCTAGTTTATGCTGCCGGGATTTGACATGCTCCTTTGGGAGGACCTTTATTCATATTGATTGATGGGGGAAATCTATATCCAAACGCTCCTCATTCAGAGGAAAAAACTATATCCAAATGCTCCTGATTTATAGAGAGAGCTTTGGCCATATGTTCTTAGATTGTAAGGAAGATATTTGGCCATATACTCCTAATTGATGGGGAAAAACTATTGTTCTATTGGCATGCATCAGCATACTTCTCTTTTCTGCAATACTTTATTGGCAGCTTGATACCATGAAATCCACTGGCACGCCCTTGACTGAAATATTAATTGGCATGAATGCCGACGGAATCGCTGGCATACATTCTCTGATGCGCTTCTTTAACATGCTTGAACATGTTCTATTAATATGCGTCTGCGGTGCTTTATCAACATGCTCTTATTTAACGCCTATTTAATATCGCATTCTTTATTCTCGCCTTCTTTATTAACGCCTTCTTTATTAACGCCTTTTTAATATCGCATTATTTATTCTCGCCTTCTTTATTAACGCCTTCATTATTAACACCTTTTTATTAACAAGCACTTTGTTTGTATATTATTTGCTGACATTTTTTACGAACTACGTTAGCATTTTTACCCGGATACCCTTCAACTATGACTGAAACACCCCCCCTGGATTAGGCTGTCAAGACACCTCGCAAAACGACCCCAATAAAATACCTCACAATAATACCCTACATCATACTTCGCTGAATTACCCATATACCTCACACTAATACTCTACAATATACCTCATTGGAATACTAACATACCTCACAAAAATACCCTGCAATATACCTCACAATAATACTCTACAACATACCTCACAAAAATACTCTCAATACAACTCACGAAAATACCCTAGAACATACCTGGATGTTAATACACCTCACAATACCCTAAATCATACCTCGCTAAAATACTAACACACCTCACGAAAATACTTTACAATATACCTCAAAACACTCTACAATATACCTCAAAATACTTTACCATACACCGCAAAATACTCTACCATACACCTCAAAAAAATCTACAACACACCTCAAAATACTGTACAACACACCTCAAAACACTCTACAATACACCTCAAAACACTCTACAATACACCTCAAAATACTCTACAACACACCTCGAAAATACCCTGAGCACTCGCTTCATTATCATGCCCCCCAGGATGCTTCACCAACACTGTCCGTTGACACTCCCGAGCAGACCACCCTCCTGCCATTCTGTCCATTGACACACTTTGCTGGCATCTGGCATCAGCATGCCCCCCAACTTTCTCTCCGTCAGCATGAAAAAAAAAAATAGAAAAACATCTACACGCCTCCCCAGCCTCCTCTCCGGTGGCAAAACAAATAAAATAAAATAAAATAAAGTAATAAAGAAATACAAAGTCCCGCCTCTTCCGGCCCAGAACTCTCTGGCCCAAGACGGACCCCAGTGCGGTTCGTGGGTGCAAATTGCCCGGCCCCCCAGCAACTCCACCCAGGCCCGCCCCTTCATATAAAATGGACCACTGTGCCGCCATCAGTCCATACCCTGCTGTGCGGCCCCATGCCCAATTTTTCACCCTCGGCCCGTGGCCCGAAAATTAGGTGCCCTCTTTTTGGCGCTTTCGCCGGGCCTCTCGGCCCTGGCCCTGGCGCGCGGCCCTGGCCCTGGCCCGCGCGCGCCGGGCGCAATCCCTTGGTCGATCAACTCCACCTTTTTCCTTCCTCCGTTCGACAACACGCACCACAAGTGCCCCCACATTGGACCCAGTGCACCCCGCCCTCCGCCATCCGTCCCCCCAGGCCCGCACCATGAGCGACGCCCACAAAAAGCGTCTTTTCCCGCCGCCCGCCGCCACGGGCCCCCTACGCGCCGTGGCCATGGCGGGCGCCACAAACACAGCCAGCGTATTCCCGCCCCGCGGCCTAGAAACACTCGCCAGCGCCTCGCTTTTGCGCCCCGGCTCGCCGCACCTTGATCTCGCGGCGCGTGGCGCCCGCCTGCGCCCGCTGCCAGCGCTCCCTTGCACGTGGCGAGAACCAGCAGGAAACCCCTGGTTTTTTGCCATGATCCCCGGCGGCTCGCCGGCAGCACCTGGCGGCAGCGACGCGCCGGCACCGCCATCCGTTCCCGCGTCCTCGGCGGCGCCCGGGCGCGCCGTCAGCGTGTTCTCGCTCTTCCCCACCAACCCCAGCCTCGGGCTCTTTCTCTTCTCGCCGCTCGTGCCCGCGGCCGACAACCGCCCGGCGCTCGCGCTCTTGACCACAGTGCAGTTGCTCTTGGGGCTCTCGTGGATGACGCGGCGGGCACCCCGGGCCGGCGAGTCGCGCGCACGGGCGCGGGCCGTGGCGGCGCTCCGGTTCCTGGCCGGGTCCGTGGCCGTGTTCCTCGCTGCGTTCGAGGCGCTCCGGCTCGCGATCCCGTACGACCCCTGGGCGGAAGAGGCGCGCGCGTGGCGGCACTGGGCGGTCCGAAACGGGCACGGCCCCAGCTGGTGGCGCGGCGCCATCGCGTTCTACACGCCCATGCCCGTCGCCGAGTGGAAGCGCAAGACCACCAACTGGCTCTCCAACCTCATCAACGCGTTGGAGGCGGACCGCGCCGCGGACGCCGGCGCGCACGACGCGGGCGTGCTCAGCAGCATCCCCCTCGGGCCGCGCGCCGTGCTCAAGGCGGGCGAGGCCGACACGTACACGGAAATCTACGAGAGCCTCTGTGCGAAGAACGGCCTGCGGGCACACGCCTTGCTCGCGGGCGCGTTGGCGGACGTGTCCGAGTTGAACAAGGCCGCGCGGCTCGACGCGCTCTTGGAGGACGAGGGCCACGTGCACTTGGACGCGGACTACTCCAGGCCCAACATCCAGTTGGGCACGCACACCATGGACACGGACGCGGACTTCGAGATGGTCTGGGCCAACTTCGAGCCCTGGGACGAGTTGTTCCAGGAGACCGACTTCGACGTGCGCATGATTCCGCGCTGGCGGTGTGTGGACGGGCTCCTGGACGGGCCCCTGGACGGGCTCCTGGACGAGCCGCCCGCCGCCGAGTCTCTGTAGCTGCTGGGACGCCCTTGGGGCTATAGTGCGCTACATGCAACCCGGAGACGGACGTGGGACGGACAACACGCCATTCGAGACTCTGTGAGCCTGCCCGTGTGCCAAGCATGCTGTGGCGCCAGGGCCCCTTGCAGCGCACACATGTGCGGACCGCTTGCACCTCCAGTCCGTGCATTCCCTGGCTGTCTATCGTATGTAGCCAGGGGTAGAAGCTGTGCTTGAGGGCTCGACTCGCGGCATCTTACAACATTAGCATATGGGTGCGCCGCCGGCCCGGGTGGTCTGGAGTCCCGGGAGCGGGCACACCGGCTCTGCTCTATGTTGCGACGGTCTGTTTTGATCTGGTCACCATGGCCCGGTCCATTCCGTGCCACACTCAGCGGCCCGAGTCTTCGCGGCCGGTCTGCCCACCGTGCCCAGAACCCTACAGCTCAAGGCCTCTCATCAGAAATACAGCTCAAAGCCTCTCATCAGAAATACAGCTCAAAGCCTCTCATCAGAAATACAGCTCAAACCCTGCTCACCAAAACTACAGCTCAAACCCTGCTCACCAGAACCCTCCAGCTCAATGCATGCTCACCAGAACTACAGCTCAAAGCCTCTCATCAGAAATACAGCTCAAAGCCTGCTCACCAGAACTACAGCTCAAAGCATGCTCACCAGAACCCCCAAGCTCAATGCCAGACAAACGGCCAGGGGGCCTCCCGGCCATGCCAGGGACAACACAGCATCTCGCGGCGGCTTCTATTGACTGTCCTTGTATATACATGTAACCGCCCGGTCCAGCAGAGCCTCGTAGACTCTACTTCTCCTCAATCAAATCCTCGGCCCACCCCAAGTTCTTGGTGTCCGCACCAGCCACGGCCGGGGCGTGGAGCTTGCTCAAATGCTGCCTCCACAACAACTCGGCCGGGTCCTGGTCCGGCTCCACCCACTCAAACCCGTCGCCACCGCTCATCCAGTAGGCCTGCAACTTCAAGTCCTCAATGCTGTCCCTGGGCTCAAGGAGCCGGATCTTCTGCCCGTCGCGCGTGAAGCCCGCCTTCAAGTTGGCGCCTTCGTCGAGCCGGTCGTTTTTCCTGCAGAGCTCCTCGACGAGCCACGCGCTGTTGCCGGGCCCGCCATTCAACTTCACGTCCGCCTCCATGATCTTGGTGCACATGGCCATTTCGTCGGCGTGCCGGTACCAGTGGGTGTAGAACGTGCCCTTCTGCCACGTCAAGAAGTCGCCGCCCGCAGAGTTCAACTGGCGCCCGAACTTGACCACGGTGACAAAGAAGCTCGAGTTGAGGAAGTACGTCAAGAACATGGCGTTGAGCGACGCCAAGTGGTGCCACGTGGGCAGGAGCCAGCCCATGTCGATCACGTGCTGCACGCCCAACTTCGAGAAGAGCGTGATGCCGATCGCCGACGCGGCCAACTTGAGGGTGCCCAGGCGCAACACGGCGCTTTTGTGCTTGATGTAGTTGGGGTGGCCCGTGGTCATGTCCGTGATTCGGATGGCGCTGTGCAAGTCCGCGTTGAACAACGAGTCGCGGAACGGAATCAAGGCGTCGTTCTTGGCAATGTACGCGTCCGGGTTCCGCTCGTAGAAGCGCAGGAGGATCTTGATCGTGGTGGCCTGTGGGAACTTGAGCAAGAACACCTGCTTCAAAAGTGCCGCGTCGAACTCCACGTTGTCGCTCAGCAAGACCACGTCGATCTGCTGCTGGATCTGCTGCTGTGCAGGATCCCGCCGGAGCTTGTCGTGCTCGGTGACCTGGTCCTGGAGGCGTTTGCATGCCCTCAAGGCATCTAGAACACGCTCCTTGGGCACCGGCGAGTCACGTGCCGCGAGGCTGGCCCCGATTTTCTGGGCCAAGTCCAGCACCGAGCTCGGGTACAAAAACGGGTTCGCGGACTGTGTGTTCTGGAGGCGCCGGGCGCCGCTGTGTATATTGCGGGCGGCCCGGAGATATCCCAGGGAGACCAATGGCAGTAGTCTGAACATCGGCTAGCTTGAACTGGGGGAGGTCCCGGTGATCTGCGAGCAGCGGCACAAAACAGAGAAAAGGTGGTATGTGCAGAGTCGGAAAAGCGGCCGCTATGCGCGTATCGGAGTGCCGGTGTCTGTAGTCGGAGGCTGTTCAAAAAAGCCGGTGGATAAGTGTTCTTTCCGCTGCTTGTACTGGCTTGTCTAGCGAGCGCGAAGACGAGACGGCGAGGAAAAAGCGGGTGTTATCTGCAGGCCGGCGCTGCTCTATTATATTAGATCTAAATGACGGAGAAGGGAAAAGCCCGCCGCCGGCTGCGAGGCCCTACAAGCCGGCAAATCCCGCAGTGGACACAAGGGCGAGCACAACGCTGACCCACGCATAGAAGCTACTGTGGTGCGACCTGTGCGCACCGGAGTCTGCCGAGCCCGACGCCGCCGAACCGGAAGCCGCGGCGGAGCTTATCGTGGAGGGCCAGATGTACGTGGTCACGAAGGACAACGTTGTTTTTTCGGTTTGGCTGGCGCCAGCGTCGGTCTGCGCGGTTGTTTTTGTCGTGCTGCTGGAGGCGGTGCTCGAGCCCGAGGACTCGGCGACTGACGCCGTTGCCGTCGACAACGACGTGGATCCAGAAACACTGCTGCTGGTCGTCAGGCTCAAGGTGTTTGTGGCGGTCCACGCGATGAGCTGGTCGTTGTTCATGGTGTACGTCTCCAGGTACACGGACAACTGAGACGCATTCATGGTTGCCGTGTCGACGGTGCTTGACGTCAGTGTGCCTGTGGAGGTTGTGGCCGTGCCCGTAGTGGCCGTGCCCGTAGTGGCCGTACCCGTAGTGGCCGTGCCGGTTGTAGCGGTTGTAGCTGTAGTTCCAGTAGTGACCGTGCCGGTTGTGGCTGTGGTTGCAGTGGTTCCAGTGGTTCCAGTGGTTCCAGTGGTTCCAGTGGTTCCAGTGGTGGCCGTATTGGTTGTCGTTGTGGAGTCAGCCGCCTGCACAGCAGCAAGCAAGACGGCGAGCACAAGAGGGTTCAAAGCGAGCGATTTCATGTCTGCAACGTGGGCCACAATCTCAAAATGCTTCCGGACCGGCCCAGCCTTATATCGGAGATCTCAGATTCTGCACCTCGGGCCGCGCGTCCCGTGCCTGCTTTCGACTAACCAACAACACGTTCTCTGCATGGGGATCACGACTCGCATTTTCGCGACTGTATCGAGCCGCAGCCCTCGACGGCATTCTCCGAACAGGAGCCTCGTAATTCCGGTGCTGTCCGTGTAGATACTCAGCGTCAGTCCCGAATTCTGTCGGGCGCCGCGGCGGTTTTTCTTGGTTGTCTTGGACTTCACACCGCAAGATGCCGATGCCAATCCCAAGCCCACTGAGCCTTGGGATGACTGAGCCTTGCAGTACTCGGATCGCGCGGCCCAACCATGGTCGTCCTGTAATGGCAACACATTTTCCATGAGCCCCACACGCATCTTATGACGGGTTGCTCGCGATTTTGACAGCCGGTTGCGATGCATTGGAATGATGCCCGGGTCCATGCCGGGGTTGCATAGGTCTGTTGCGCGGCTCTGTAAAGGCTTCTCTCCATACTCTTCCGGGTGCTTTGTGCTGATAACGTAGTAGCTGTTTTCGTCCCCGAGCATTGCCTTTTGACAACTCATAGTCGCAGGCATGTAGGCAGCTTTGGCTAAAGGCACCATGCTCCGATCTCGCCATTGTCCGCCTGAGGGCATAGTAGACTCCGCGCCTCCAGTAGGCATGAGAAGAAGCATGGCACATATTCAGAGCCACGCCCCGGGAACAGAAACAGGCGGCCCCAACACTCAAGAAGCAACGCCTCTGATGCCAGTGCATTCCGCGCCAAACACGCCAACATCAAAGCCTGAGAACTGTTCGTTGCTCGTCGGAATCAGGCAGTCTCGACTCGCCGACGGGTGCTCGCAAGCAATTGAAAACTTTCGAGTCCCATCGCAGAATGAAAAACATTGCGCCCAATGGAAAGCAATATGCCCGCCGCAGAATGAAAAACATTGCGTGCGCCGCAGCTCGCTCACTTCTTTCTCTTCTTCCGCTTCTCCATTTTCGGCGCACAATCCGGACAGTACCAGATCTCGTCGTCGTTGGGAGGGCTCGTGATGCCCACACACTCCCAGTGGAACCACTCGTACTGGCAGTCATCATTGTCACAGCCAATCATCTCGCCAAATGACACCCGCTGGCAGAAACAGTACAAGTTGTTGTCGGCGTCCTCCGCGCCGTTGGACGTTTTCATTGCAAGGCTCCCTGCATTCACAGTGTGTGCACGCGAATGGCCGGAATGTGTATGTTCGCCGTGGCCGCTGTCCTCAGCGTCCTCGCTTTTCGGGCGCTTGGTGCGCTGCTTCATCACGGACAACGTCCGCTTTTTCTTCACGGGCGCAGGCGACGACCGCGGCGTCTCCAGCGCGCCATCGATTTCTTCGATTTGTGCGCTTTCGTCGAGCGGGGCAATGAGCTCGTCGCGCTCCAATTTCTGGATGTCCGCCTCGAAGTTGCACATGTGCTTGGACACGAGAAACAACGCTGTGTTGGCGAGCAAAATCTTCTCCTTCTGGATTTTTTGCACGAGCTTCATGTCCTCGTCAATCTTGGAGCATATCTGCTGCTCTTTCGGGTGCCGCGTGAGCGTGCCGTTTGCGCGAATAAACTTGTGCAATTGGGAGTCCTTGGTCTGGTACCGCCGCCTGGCCTCCGCTAGCTGCGTGTCTTTGGCCTTGAGCTCTTCGAAAAGATGTTTGACCTCAAGGGGCAAGTTCAGGAGGTCCTGCGTGTATTTATCTAGCACGGCCGTTGTGTCCATCGCAAACGTATTTTTGGCGGAGAAAGACGGGGTACGTATACCGTTCACATCACGCGCGCGAAAGTGGTGTCAGGAAAGTCGTGCGTGGACCGGCACATCACCAATCGCGGTAGGTCGAAACCTGTCGCCGCTAAGCTGGTGCCTCCAACACAAGTCAGAAACAACGGGGTGACGCATTCGGGCCCGTCATAGATCTGTTTTTGTAATTGCGTTTCTGATTTTCCAGTTTCAAGACTGATCTGAATCTGACCGAACCGCTGGCCATGGGTTTCTCAGAAGTCACGCTAGATCAGGGTTTGGCTGACAAACTAGAACATGGGGCCGGCCTCTCACAACCCCAGCTAGATGAAATTCCATTGCTCATCCAAACTGCTGATGGCTCGAAAAAACTCACGCAAATTTTCCGCTCAAGCACATCGCAGTTTTTGCAAAGTTTAGCCTCATCTTTGGACGCTGAAGGTGTGGCATCAGAAACTGCTCTGATCCCGCATCTTGTCGCTCAGATAACCCGCTTGATCACTACGGATATGATTCCGGGTATCATACAAGTATGTGAGCTCCAACTTACAAAACGTGACGGGCCGTCTCGCTTCTACTTGTCTCTATATCTGAATTTCTGTGTGAAGCACCAGGAAAAATCATCCATTGTCCCAACCCTTCTATCGTTCCTAGCAAGCCCAGACACATCGATAAAGGACTTGTCGATCTTCCTGCTTTATGCGCTCACAAAAAAATCATCCTCCACAGAAAAACAAATTACGGAATACTTGATGAATTCTCTAAAGCGTGACTCGCCGGAGATGCCAGCCCCAAGTTTCACCATTCTCTCAAAATCCCTCGAGACGTTTTTTCCTATATTCCCGGACTCCATGACGCGAATCTACGTTTCTGAGGCCTGCAAACAGGCATTCCTCTACCAGGGTCTCCTACTCAACCCGGAAAAAGACGTGAACGACTATTCCACGGCACAGCAGCTTTTGCAAGTGTTGTCTCTGTCGTGTATCAGAGAAACAGCGCGGAAATTCAACACTGAGAATTATCTTCCGCTTCTCATAGCCGGAACGGCCCTCGAGTCGTCACCCACCATCAGGTCACTTCTGCTCTTGTGCGTGGTGAAATTGTGGAACTTCAGTGCCATTGAGAAACAAATCTCCATGGACACAGTGTTCACCAAAACACTCTCTCTTTTCATATCTGCGGATCCGGCCTCGCTAGAATGTATATCCTTGCTCGAGGCATTAGCATATCTATCACTAGGTGCGGCGACTAAATCTGCCCTTCGAGCGAATGAACAGGCGATTGAACAACTTGTTTTGCTTTTGGAAACTTCTTTGGATCCACTGGTCATATACGGGTGCTTGCTGGTGATTCTGAACTTGTGCCGGATCAAAAGTGCCGATCAAGATAAAGACACCAACACGCTCAATTACCTCAAGTCCATGGCGACGGAGAAGTCCACCGCGGATGACAGCGAGGAGTCTGTCATTGCTTTTAATCTGGATTTAGTGTCAGAACACAAGTTGGTGAGTACGATGGCAGCTTTGAAGAACGTAAAGGAAAACTCAACGGCCCACATAATCCAGATTATTTATTCGCTAACTACAAAGCAAAGCGTCGCTACGCATAGAATGATTGTCTCGCAAGGCGGGTTGAACATCAACATCAAATACCTCGTTGAACATAGTAAAGTCATCAAGGAAACTTCCAGCACCACTGCGGCTTCAAGCGATGAGACGCTGCTGGAAGTCAGGCTCCAAAGTCTTCGCGCATTGGCCACTTTATGTCGCTCGGTAAACCCCACATTGGCATTTTCGAAATATGATGTGAAAACATGCGTCCCCTTTCTAGTTGAGCTTCTAGGCCCAGATCTGACTGTTGGTTTAAAAGCACCATTTCTCCCCGAATCCTTTATGGGACCTGGTGACAAGTTGTGCTCTTTGCTTGCCCTCACGAACTTATCCTCAAAACCTGATCCGGACCTTCATCAATCGATAGTTAGTCGGGCTTTCGAGCAACACCTCAAAAATCTCATGCTTGACAGCACGCTTTTTGCCGTGCAAAAGGCCACTTGGGAACTCATTAATAACTTGGTTGCGGCTAGCCCATTGATGTTGGCAAAGTTCTTCAACCCCGAAAGCGCTGAGAGCCGGAGGAACTTGGACCTTTTGGTGAAAATGCTCCATTCACAGGACGAGTCCTTGCAAATTGTCATTGCGGGATTGATCGCGAATGCCACCATGGAATTTGATCTCGTCTCTGTTTCGATACTTGTACAAAAGCCGATTTTCGAAAACCTTTGCCAGATAGTTGCCTCAATTTTCAATCAACAAGCGCAAAATGATGACTTGATTCTTCGGGTAGCCACGTTTTTGCAACACTTGACCTCAGTGGCCAAGGCTTCCCAAAAAGAAGCATTGAGCGTGCTCAGAACAGACCCTGCTCTAAAGAGTGGAATAAAAACTGTGGTGGTTACTACGAAAGACGCTAACATCATGTCACTTTTACGTGAAACAATCCAGCTTGCAGAAATGAAGTTTTGAATTAGAAGACCTGTGTATGAAACGTAATATACAAACGGGTACAGCCTTGTACTGCAGATCTTGGTATATTTATTTACATCGATCCATCAGAACTGGATCATTCTTTGAGCTAGAGTCTCATTGTTGTGAACAACGTCTTTAGTCTTTTCGCGAGGTCTCTTCTCGTTCTCGAGCTTCACTTTCACGGCTTTATGCAATGCTGACAAAAATTCCGAGTAATTCGGACTAGTGTTTAAGGCCTTCGAAGCAAGCTTGTCTTCGGTTAGGCAATCTCTGAACTCATGTGTCCTTGAGTCCATGCCATCTCTGACTATGACAATGGCCGACGAGCCAATTGAATCGCATCCAATGACATTCTCGCGGAAGTACCGCACCAAGTTTCTGGCTTGTTGCGAAATATGCGTGGGTAAATCAGGCAATGAATCTAGTAAAGGGTCGATATCTTCGCAGCTCTCGATGTGATCGCCGAAAACATCCTTGAGCAATAATTTGTTAGAATCTGGATGAACTCTTACGTAGACGGTAGTGCCATCGCAAAGGATGTATACGCCGCTCTCCAAAGAAGCTGCAGTCAAACTCTTGAACTCCGGCAATTTGATGAAATCGTCGGTGTTCTCTGGGTCGTCGTAAGGCATCCCCTCATCTTCTGCCAAAGAGTGCAACTCTACCATAGCCGGATATAAATGAAAGACGAGCTTGTCGAGAGGCATGTATAACATCTGGAAGATGTCGCATAAGCGTGTGTCCAGAGAAATTGAGGAGGAGTCACGCAATGCCTTGGACTTGATGAGAGACAAAAAGTAGCTGGGGAGGTGCTTGAGTGAGTCGGGAAATACCAATTGGTTGGCCATCGGGCTGTTTCTGTTGTGAGAAGGCTCGCTCATGGCTCTGTACGCGGTGAAGATTTCCACGAGTTTCTCGTTGAGGGACTTCCTCAACTCATCAATAGACTCCTTTCCTAAGAAAGAGATGGTATCACGAAGCACTGTGGCCACCACAGCATCTTGATCAACAAAGTTAAACACGTCCAGAAGCCGCTCGCTCACAGCAAGCACCAAGTTGATGACACGCACCTTCCGTACTCCTTGGGGGTCTGTGTAGAGGAGCGCCGCCTGGAAGTGACAGTCGTATTTTGTGTTGAGTTGGCCATCGTACTCCAAAAGCACAGTGAAGCTCTGGTCTTCGTTGAGGACGGGAATTATCGGGTCCTGCAGTGCACCTGCGGCAAACCCAACAATGCCGCCATCGGCGGTTGTGGGAAAGCCGTAGTACTGCGAGACCTGTAAACCGTTTGAACAGCGCAACTTCAACTGGCCCTGGTATCCCGTGCACTTGCGCACGGAGGCCACAATTTGGGCGGTGAATGAACGGCCGTCACGCTCGAAAACAAAGTCCAGCCATTTGGACACAGAGCCCCCTGTGACCAGGGCAAGCCATCCAACGTTCGAGAGGTCTGCGGGTGTGTCGGACACGACGAACACGTCAAGCCCGACATTCAGGGCAAGGAAGTCCTTAGCAAGAAGCTTGTAGTACTCGTTGTCGGGCGAGTACAAGGCCTTTTCGGCTTCAGCCAGCTGCGTGCGCCCCACATTTCGATTTTGCTTGATCTTGGAGCGGCCGGGCCCCCACGACGACAACGTGGACAACACCAGGGTAATTTTCCCACCGCCAACGGGCTCGAGACAGAGCTGCGCGGTGCGCAAGGCCACGGAGAAGCAGGGCTCCGGGTCGCGCAGCGCATGCTCGTGGGAGAACAGCTCGAGCTTGTTCAAGGCATCTTCAATGGCCAAACGACTGCGGTCTGGGTCCGCAAAAAGGCCCACGCTGAAGGGCACGAACGGGTCGTCCAAGTCGCCCGACACGCAGAGCTGCGCCGCGTCCAAGTGCGGGGCCAAGTTGAAAAAATGCATTTTTGTGTCGAACAAGATGATGGCGAACCGCAAGCTGGCGGCCGCGCCCGCCGCGCCGCCGGCCGCCGCGTAGTCAAAGAACACGGCGCGCATGGCGTCCGCCAAGAGCACAGGCAAGTGGCGGGCCACGCTCTGGTGGGAGATGTCCACCAAGAACACGTGGTGGAGCGGTTGTGCCTCGACGTGCGCGCCGCCGAAGTTGTAGTACTTGGGCACCACGATGTCGTAGACACCACGGTGCAACTCCGGGCGCACGGCCTGGTCGGTGCGTTGGCCCGTGGCGGGGTCAACGGGCGCCACGTACTCCGGGGGCACGCTGTTGTTGGGGAACTGGCACACGTTGCATGTGAAGCGGCCCAGCGGCGTGTGGGCCATGGCCGGGTTGATGTACGTGCGGCAGCGGTTGCAGCGCGGCGGGCCGGCGTCCAGGGCGTCGCCGCCGGGCGTCTCGCCAAGCCGGGAGTGGTCGACGGTGGGCACCGGCATTTCCGTCGGAAGCACCGGCGCAAACGGCCGCACCGTCACCGCCACAGGCAAGCGCGTGGCGCGCCGCAACGCCTCCAGCTCCGGCACGTTGTAGAACGTCGTGCGCATGTGCCGCGGCGTGGCCGTGCCCTGGTCCACGGCGTGGTACTGGGTGCCGGCGATGGGCGGCACGATGTTCTGGAACGAGAGAAACTGCTTGTACCCCAAAGACGCGCCATTTTCGGCGGCGAGCGGCGTGCAGAACTCGTGCTGCTGCGCGTGCCGGGCGCTGCTCAAGGAGAGCCCGGGCGGCTGTGGGGACGCCGTTTCAGGGAGCTGGGACACGCTGAGTGCCGCCATTGCGGGCGTGAGCGCCGCCGCCGGGCCGCCAACAGCGGCGGGCGAGAACGCCTGTGCTGGCACGTGGGCGCCTTGCGGAAACAGCGGCGTGCTGGGCTGCACGGGCGTAAAGAACGGCAGCGGACTGGCGCCCGGAGATACACTTCCGGCGGAAAAGAGCGACGGCAGGGCAAACGGCTGGGCGGGTGCCGCAAACGGCGCGTGCGGCAGCGCAAACTGCGTATCGTGGAAGGCCCGCTGGGGTCGTTTTTTGCGGCGGGGGTCGGCGTGGGGGGCGCTGGCGCCGGCCGCCAAATCGGTCGCTGATCCGTGGAGCGACATGGGGAGACGGGCGTTTTTTGGGGGTTTGTGTTTGTGTTGGTGTTTTTGTGTTGGTGTGTTGGTGTGTTTGTGTGTTTGTGTGTTTGTGTGCCAATGGTTTTTTTATGTCTGGCCGGGTGTTCTGGCCGCTCTGGTGGGGTGTTGTTCCAGGTGCTGCCTAGTCGCTGGAAAGAAAACAGCAGTACTCTTAGGGCCTGCGTGTTTGGGGTGCGGCCAGTAGTGGACGCGAAGAATCGCAGGCGGCCCCACGCGACTATTAACAGAATGGAGCACGCCAGCGGTACGTGGGCAGCAAAACGCCGGGCGCTGTAAAGCACATGCCGCTCATGGGAAAAAGCATGGGTTTTTGGCGCTGAGCCTGTTTTGGCCCCGACGGCGTGGTTTTGGATTTTTTCTTGCAGTGTAGCAACAAAGGGGAATCTCGGGCCGTAATAGATGCGATTCGTGGCTCGCAACAGATGGGATGTACCGGACCGGAATGATAAATATGCCAGGGCCAGTGCGCGCCGCCCGCAGGGCCACCGAACATGGACCAAGAATGGGCCGGTTGGAAATTATCACAGACCACGGTGTCAACGCAATACAGCAGGCCCGATACAAAACAGCAACATGCCCGCAGCACTATGGAAAAGCGCTTAAAAAAATAAAAATAAATAAAGAAAAATAAAAATAAAGGAAAAAGGTCACTGAATTTGCGGACCTGTTGGTGGAGTATCCTGCTCTCGCAGCAAGATGTATGGATGCCTGGACAACCACCCCGGCGACCGTGGAAACACCGCGTCTCGCTACCGTCGGGTCACGTGCGCTGGGTCTAATCTCTGTCCTCTTCTGGTCAATACGTGCCTTTTCTCTCCGGGTTATGTACGTGTTCTTGTAGTGTCTTATAGCTCCATAAAATGGGCGGTCTGATAAGAATGCGCTGCTCAGAAGTTTTTTTTTGTTCCGTCTTGGTCCATGGGCTTCGGTTGTTCTATGGGCACCTTCCCTGAAATATCCATAGTACGCGTCAGTACCAATATACTCCGCAACTGATGCGATAATGGCCATTTCGTTTCAAGCCTGGACTTCCGGCCCACTGGAGAATTACTTCTAGCGAACATGTGCTTTGCGCGTGATGCGTACGTGTGACTCAACCAGTATGCAAGGTTTATGGACGCCCATGTTATGTATGGCTTCGTCTACATTCCTCATTTGAGCTTAGTTCCATTGATATATTCGTCATCTTGAATTTCTCAGAAAAACAAATCCAGCATATGTGGCATACATGATATCGTCATATGGACGGTAATGTCTGATTCCAGTTCTCCATGCACCGTTCTGTTTTCGATTCAAGTCACCTGTGATGCCGAGTGTAAGCATTGAAATACTTTCACCCTCGGCTCCCAAAGACTGCTAAACCATACTCAATTGCTGAGTCCTGCTGTGTGTTTTATCCCAGCTTTGACCCCAACCTTTTGGTCAAATATCGAATACTTGTTTCTGAACCCGAGGTATTTTGCATTTGCAATGGCTTAGTAGCTCAACAAACTAACAAGGACCTGGCATTATATTGAGTGGTATAATCAGGGGTGATTGCTCTGACCCTGACCCTCTGCTTATCTATTCTGGGGCTTTGGTTCCTTTGCGGAATGTAGGATTTGGATGACGAACATCGGATGTATGAAAATAGTACAGATTCTATAACTAGCATATTGCGTATAAACACAATATATTTGCCTATCACCAAAACAAAGACAGAGACCTAATTTATGTGAGACTGCGGCTGACTGCTGTCTTTTGAATTTCCTTTTCGTTACATTTCTTCCGCCTCTCTTTGTAATCTTCCATATCTGCTACACTCCGGTCTGGCCATATCAGCGGTTTATAAAGTAAAGGATGGCTTTTCACGAAACCACAAATTGCAAATGCACTCCAAATTCCGAAACTAGAACAGACTGTTTTGGGAATATCTCTCTAGATACAACAAATATAGTTCTTTACAACTTCTGTAAAACTCAATTCAGACCCAGGATTTCCCACACTTCGAGACTCTATTTATATACATGAAGGCAGGGAAATTGAAAGCTCATGGACTTAATTCTGCTCGAATAATCAAATTATAACATATGGCAAAAATCTGCGAAACGGTATATACTTATTTGGTAATTTCACTCGCTCCAGCTGCTATATTGTAGGGGAAGATCCGTAACATATGAAATTCGTGGTCAAACCCAAGAGAAACGTTTTGCTCAAGTTATACAATTTTTCTAAGTATGTTCTCATATTAAAGCAGTTTCATTGGGCAAAACAATTATTGACTTTGAATCCAAACCCGGCTTACAAGAAATGGTATCAATGAACAGCCATTACTGGGGCTCCCGAATTCGGAAAAAAACATACATCTCCATTGTGTCTGTCCTCATGTGTATGTCAGGCTTGAACCCCAAACATAGACATAAATTCCTGAATCCAGGATAAACTTGCTTGCACTTTTTTGTACGAAAACATGAAACACTTGCCAGGGGGAAATTCAAGAGTAGCTGCTATCTCAAAACACGAGCTTGGTGTACACGGCTACTCGAGCTTTTTGAAATGACGCTGAAAGCTTTGACTCACGGATCGAAAACCTACTTTCGTGGTTTCTTTTTGGTGAGCGAATCATACTTGACTCTGTGTATCTGCATCAGAGACTTGCAAGAAGTCGATGCAAACTCGATAGAAGTACTGTCCGCCGCGTGGCACTCTTGAAGAGACCCAAAGTTCTATTCAAATTAGACAATGAGCCATAGCACAGTCGAAGTGTGTCCCGAAGCAGTACCTCATTTAGAAGTTGTCGTCGACACATTTCTGTATTCATTATCGTGGTAGCATGGATGAGTCTCTTACTGGCTTTTATAATCCAAAATAAGACCACTGGGATTTCTTCCGATCTATCTTTAAGAGCTATTAGGGGTTTTGTATAGTGGTTTATAATTCCTTCCACAGATTGATCCAAAAACTTTAAAAGTGCTCATATCCAATGAATTCGCGTTGTAGTGAACGCCTCATTCTGAACTAACCGAAAGCTCATAATAAGCTAACACACTGCCCATTTCCTCATGCCCTGCACCAACAATCACCGAAAGCTTCTGTAACAGAAATTGGCACGTGTAAGACTATTATATCCTTAAGCAGCAGACAAAAAGAGAATTCAGACTTCTTAATTGATCAATGTGCAATCAATCTAGAAGCGCGTTTCAGCGAAGATTATTCCAGTCCTTAGCACTGGTGCTAGCTGCAGAAACGTATCCGTGATTAAAATGAGATACACCGCGGGCGCAGTCCCCCATGCTATCTCTAAAATAAAATCCGAGCTAGGGTATTCCAGGTTCGAGGGAGAAAATGACAATCTACGTCATTTAATTGTGATCCTGGCGAAGCATAATCCCAAGAGATTCCGGCTTTCTGTCAGAGTACGTGCCGTATCTGCTTATGCAACGTTGCTATTTTACATACAGGGAAGCGCCACCAGGGCCGTGCCAGCTGCGGCGGGGCGTCGGATCACCAATGCTTTCGTTGTTTTTCCATAACTTTCCCACAACTGCTTGACAAGCAATACGCAAGTAATCCTTGGTCATATTTCTTTCTCGGCCATCAGTCCCAGATCCTGATTCTTTCTGATTCGTGGGTGGAGCCTTTGAGTGATAAGCCCCCACCCTTTTTGCTTGGCATCATGAGACGATATTCCAAATTGGCGAGATAGACGCATAATTCATGAAAAAAGCCCAAATGTGGTATCAGTGCTTAGTTCATGGCTTAGTCCCGGCTATTGAAGCCGTTCACACTTTTGGCCATGCATTCCGGACACGACAGCGCGGGCACAAGAGCCAAGCAAAGCGGAAGGTAAAAAAAAGTTAAAAAAGGCTCGTTAAATCCGGATCAAGCTCCATTCCACCTAGACCACCTGGAAAAAAAAAAGACTGGCTCTTAACATTGACCTCTCTTCTGTGCAGAAGATTTGTCCTGTCCTACTCCTCTGACGGTTTTCACTATTGTTCACTTCATGCATCAGCAAATGCTTGGCTTCTTCGGGCCCTGCGCGGACGTGAGACGCGGCAAGCTGGGTATGCTCCAGCAGCCGTCTAAGGGGCGACTCAAAAGCCCACACAGTGCCGAAAAAAAGGATATAAAGATGAGTACCCCTGACAGCAGCTCCCCCTGAGCTTCACAGTCACATCCGTTTTTTGGCCTCGCCTGTGCCCGGCTTCTTTCAGCCCGTCCCACGCGCGCCCCCAGCTTTCATCTCACATTCCCGTCTTCGGCCCCCGGCTGCGCAACCCATGTTGCACGCCTGCACACGGAGGGAATCCCGAGAAAACCAAGAAAATTGGCCTGACCGACTGCACCGGCCCCAAAATCCACAGTCTCGGGCCAAGCCATCTATAAGCGTGGCCATGTCCGCGGCGACATACTCCAACAGTAGTGCGGCCTTCATGAGCAACTACAGCGTGTATTTTCTACAACAGAATGCGCACATGGACATCAACTGCCTGGTGTATTCCCTCACCTCGGGGCTGCTCAGGACCCAGGACTATTTCTCCGGCTCCTGGCTGGACAACATCACCAATTTTCTCCCCGCATACTATGTGACCAACTGTTCGGTGCTGGAATTCTGGGACCAGATCGCCAGCCAGAATGTCAGCCTGTCGGATATCGAGTTGTGGCTCGGCGAATTCCGCAAAAACCCGTACAATGAGGCGGACAACGGCGACTCGTTCGTAGCACTTTTGTTCACGCTAGTCGGCCTGTGCGTGCTGGGCTGGATGCTCCTGCTTCTATTCCTCTTGCTGCCAAAACACAAGCAGAAGCCCGTGCTCACCCAGCTCGCCGTGCTCTTCTATCTGGTGTATCTAACCGTGCTCTTCTCGCAGGTGGCACGCATCACAGAGGCCGAGTACTACGCGGACCTGCTCGACATGGTGAAGATCTTGTCGACCATCGCAGACCTGCAGTACGCCGTGCTCCTGTTGGTGCAGACGCTTCTCACGCAGTTGGCGTACCTCCAGCTCTTCCTTAAGATGACCAAGAATCGCTGGAAGTTGGCCAACTGTGCCTTGGTTTCCGTGCTCATTGTGGCGTGCTTGGTCACGGGGGCGTTTTTTGTGCCGGTCACGGAAGACTCGTTCAGTTACGTCACGCTCCCTGCCACGTCTTTGGCCATTGCGCTCCTTGCGTTGGACACCGTGTTCATGGCATGGTTCGCCGTGTGCTTGGGCTACTATACTGCACGCGGCCCAGCGACGCCGCCGAAACAGGTGGCCTACTCGAAAAAACTCCTCCTGTTGGCCATCCTCACCTGGTCCTTCGTGGTGATCTACATCGTGCAAACCTTGCTCTTGGCCACCTTGTGGCGCGAGGATTGGCTCACCAACGCGTGGATTTCTTACGTACCCGACTTGCTTGCCATGTACATCTTGACTGCCAGCTGGGAGTGGCTCCACTCGATCCGCCACCTCGAGCTGCGGCTAGAACTCGTGGACATGTTGGGCCGCAGAATCAGTCTAGAAGACGTCATGGATTTTAGCAACGACGACAAGGTGCGCCGCACAGCACTTCGCGGCCGGTTCGCGTCGTTGCTCGACTTCTTCGGCCGCCGGCGTGGCGCAGCTGTGGGCGACGGCACCAGTTCCGGGTCAATAAGCACTTCGGCTAGTGTTCCTGCTGTTGTGTATTGCGGACAAGCGGAGCATGAGGCCAACGCTGCCTCGGCGGACGAAGAAAGCTCTGTGTATGAGGTGCAGTATATGGACACCGATTCATGGGACGGGGACCATCAGAACGAGCAGAATCCGGGTGAAAGCCTCTTGGGAGATGTGACAAGAGGTATGGAGATGCCAGAACACCAGCTGGCAGATCTGGGCCCCGGAACGCCACGGCAGATGTCTCCATCCGAAGACAACAGCCCTGTGATATCTGGTGCTGCTATGGAAAGCACCGGCTCTGGTCTTCCACCTGCCGTGTTTGCAGAGCCAACAGAAGGATCCTCTACTGCTATGCAAGGTGCAGCTGATCAATCCGCCATTGAAAACGGGGATGATGAACTTCCCCCATTCAGGCCACATCCTGGTTTCAGCAAAGATGACTACTGGGACGAAAAGTAGATGACCTTTGATCAGGACATGATATGGAAGACCACGAGGAAGAGTCCTGTTGAAGAAGCTCAGTTAAAATCAGTGGGAGCGGGCTCTCACTTAACAAGGCGAACGCCGAATACAGCGCATCAGAGGCTCTCTGACTGCACTATCTGGGGAAACAAGGGAAATTACACATCGCTTATGAAGCAGGAAAACAAGGGGAATTATACATAGCTTATTAATTAGAAGAACTAGGCAGGGCCTTCAAACTTCTTGCCCTCAGCTCCCGTCCGTCTAGGGCCATTCTTGGACCAGCCTTCACTGACTCGTACTTGAATCATGTGAGCCAGAATTTACAAAAACATTTAAAAAAGATGCGATTTCTGTGGATCGAACACAGGACCTTCAGATCTTCAGTCTGACGCTCTCCCAACTGAGCTAAAGCCGCCATCAGAACCCATGCCGGGACTCGAACCCGGAATCTTTTGATTAGAAGTCAAATGCGCTAACCATTACGCCACACAGGCTGATATGTTTCTTATAAACTCTTGATTTAACATGTCAATATAGCATTTGTTTTTCATGTTTTATATGCAGATCTGATTTCGAAAAAAAAAAAGAAAGGAGTGGTCAGAATTCAGTTCCTGAGGATATGGTGTTTTCCATGATAACTTGTCCCTTTAATCAAATGAATCTACCAGGCTACGGCCTTATCGAACTACTGACCCAACTTAAAGGGCATCGGGCAATGGTGTTGACGGACACCCTCCAAAACAACGATAGCTGGTACAATCAGTATCTTAGAATACGAATGCTTCACCACATGAACAAAATCGTATCGAACGACGAACAAGCCAGGCTAAGACATATAGCCGCCTCCGAATGGTATAACTTCTTGCTTGACAAAACAGGTCAATTCTTCACACACTTGGAGTGGACCTTCACGAAAAACGAAATCGCCTATTTCGAAGCGTGGAAAGAAGTGGTACCCAGGACAAGGACCATACCGATACCAGGCGAAAGCTCAAAGTACAATCAGGAGCAGATCAAACAAATGCTAGCAAAAACTCCATACCTCGACCAAGCAGAGAAAAAAGCCATTGGTAAGGAGACTTTCAAATCCTTAAGTCGCAAAAAGCAAGAAAAGCAACTCCCGATAATGCCACAACGCTTTGTTCGCTTATGTCCCGCGGTCCGCCAGACCAAAAGGTGGAAACGTTTCTGGAAAGCCTTGTATAAGGCAGAATGGATAAAGCGATACGATCTTTCGTCCATCCATCACTTCAATTACGGATCATATGTCCCGCGCAGGACCCTACCGAGCGACACAGCAGATTTTCAATGCCATCTTTGCACAGAACAAATCCACAACAACGGAGACGCCACCGACGCTTTCCTAAGCCATATCTACAACAACTGCGAAACATCCAAATACTGGTGGCAAGAGCTAAAATTTACCAAGCCCATGAGCTTGAACTCAATGTTGGCCCCAGCCGACAACTCATTGGAGAACTTAACAAAATTAAATTGGTTCGTCACCACGATCTTCAAGGTCTACACCAGAAGGCGTGGCGAGTCGCAGGAAGTGGGATCCTTAAGTCCGCTACAACCAGCCGAGTTGAAGCGACTACTACAGGAGACCTATCCTAGGAGTCGATGACGTAATATCCAATACGTAAACAGATACGTGCCATGAGGACTGTCCAGGCCGTGACTAACGGAAGGGGACGGGCCGAGCTAAGACACTT